GCAGTCTTGGGAGACTCACAAGGACTTTGTGTTTGCTCAAGTCTCAGTCTTTCTATTTTTGTTCTTCTCTAGCTTGACTGCCTTTGTTGGTAAAAATACTGAAAACCTTTGGGAGCCAATTTCCTGAGACCAAAGGACAATGTAAGCCTGTGTTCACAACTTCACGTGTGTGTGTGTGTGTGTGTGTGTGTGCGTGTGTGTGTGTGCGTGCGTGCACGTGCGTGCGCGTGCGCGAATGTCCGTCACTGTGACTGCATAAGAGCTGTGTCGGTTTGTATGCCCGTATAAGTACCTATACGCTGACATATACTGCAGGTGCCAGTAATTTATACATTCGATTTGTTCTTATTTTCACCTTTGTCACCAATTTGCCCACAGCATATTTCTCTCTTGCTAATCCCCCACACCCACCCCCTCAAATTGAATGACTAACAGAAAAAGCCCAGTGATCCAAGTATCTCAGCTCCATCCTTAATTCATTAATTTGCTGTTTCCCTACAGTCAGTCACCCAGAATAATCCATCTGGAAAGTCCAGTGAGCTTTTCTGCCACCAAGCAGAAATGGGATTGTGGATGACTGATCACAAAGCTTATATCCACAGCGTCCCACTCTGTGTTAATTTACCAACATACACACTCACACACACACGTTAACACACGCATGCATACAAAGGTTGATCCAGCCTCTCCTCAATAGCATTTAACTTCTCACAAAAAAGCATAGCATCCCAGGCTTTGAAATTGTTGAAAACATTGCTTGAATTTCTTTTTCCCACAATACACTGAAAGCAACATTTTCCATATTTACAGCATATATCCCTGGTGAAAGGATTACAGGTCAACTGTCATGTGGCTGAAGAGTTTACAGTCACAGTTTCACCTTCTGAAATTAATTCAGCCTGGTTTACAGCAGAGAATAGACAATGCCTCTGCCCTGAGGGTACTCAGACATCAGTATTTTAAAGGTGAATCATTGATCCCAGCACAAAATTACCATAAGAATACCAGGCCAGCCACTGGGGGACTCAAGGGAGGGGGCAGTAGGGGTCAGAATATGGTAAAAGAAAAAATCATATTGCAATTATTTGACAGATATTGTGATATGACTCATTGTGGGAAAAATCATTTTTGCATCACAAATTTAATTTTCACTAAATTTGTTAGGCTCCTTTCCAAACAAACATGTTTTCTTACATCTGGAGAACAAGATTTGTAGGCCAGGGAATCTCTACAGAACTACAGTATTTTTATTATAATGCTGTATATTTGACCTTTTATCAAAAATATTGCAGCCTCTGCAATTTTGATATTTCACTTGGCCATATTGCAATTTAAATAATATTTCAATTAATTGTGCATCCCTTGCTGGCAGGACAATTCCCCTCCCTGGTGCCTCATTTTTATGTTTTGTGGGGTTTTGGTGACCATTTATTCCCCTAAAGACACATATTCACAGGAGACATTGATTGACTCTGCTCACAGACAACCATATCATGCAGTACATGTCATACCCAAACAGTATCAGTGAAGAGGAACCTGCTTCAGACAGTTTTGCCAACTTTATCCAATTCTCTAACTAGCAAAGCCTCAGCTTCTGCAAATTTAATAGATGCTTAAAGTTGGATTTTCCAGGGCACTGTGAATCAGGAGTGGATTGTTCATTAATTGCAGGATTGGTGGTTTGATCCCAATCTCCTCATGTCCATATGTCAAATTGTCCTTTATCAAGACACTCGACACCAATTGGCTCCCAATGGTTATGGCAATGCGTTGCATAGTACAGACGTGAAATTAGAACTTGTCACCGTGAATACAGCATAATAGTGTCACAACACAAATCTAGTCAAATTATGCTTGGGCCAAGAGTTAATTTTCATTGAGATTTAATCCAAATCTATCCTTTGAAGTAGCAGATAGACAGCGATGGAAATATAACCTGTTTCTAAACTTGAATAGATGTCACATAATCACAGAAACTCTTTGAGAAATAAGAGACATAAAACATCAATTTCTTGTCTCATGACATTCTCACAACCTTTCATTAAGTCAACAGCCGCCAGATATATTTGCATGTTTAATTACCTGTTTATGTCTATGGTTTCTTAATTCCAGACTTTTCCTGGTAATGGCAATCAGAGACTCTTTTCTTTGTTAGGAGGTGCTCCCAATCCTCCACATTTTAAATGGTGTCCCCCCCCTGAACCGTGATAATTGATGTATTTCCCATAAAGGAATGGTAATTAAGATAATGAGATTTTCAGAAGCAAGTGTAGCATGCCAAAATGAGGGGGAGCGTGTTTCTTGACTGGTTCACTTTAGCTTTATAAATTTTCCTCCCTTTTATTCTCCTTATTTCACCAGGCTCTACTTTTCCTCCACTGAAGTCTGCCTCCTATCTGTGTTCTCCTTACCACATCTGCTTCCCCTCTCGTCTCCCATACACAGCTTGTACTCATTTGTTTGCCAGTGCATAATTGGCTATAGGATCACCCATTGTGTAATTATGTATAGCAGTTTGATATGTAATTAAAATTGTATCAGTATCCAGTGTAATTTGTGCAGTCTGATTACCTATTAACAGTGCAAACAGTTGTGCCTAAAAGCCTGTGACCGCCCCTCTCATAGATGTCACTGTGCGTCTCTGTCGGTATTTACAGCAGGTGCTACGTTGGAGCAAAAAACTCTATTCATATCAGCACATAATAAACAATTCTCCTACATTTCGTCACATGAACACTCCTTTCTGACAGCTTGAGTGATTGTTGACTGCAGTCTTAAACCAAGCACTTTAGAAGACCATGCACTTTACTTCAGACAAGACCGCACACTTTACTGCACATTTACTGTGTTAAGTGATTGAGCTGAGCAACATTGCAATGGCTTGTTCCTCACAAATACAGACAACACAAAGCAGGGCTTTCAAACCGCTTGTTGGAACGCTCTTATATTAGGGCTAAAGAAGAGGGTTTGTGAGGACACTCTAAGAAAACATCTTAATGAAAGCACCAGGGTGCAAACTGGCCTGAATATAAGCCGCCTTTGCAAATTCACCACTAAATAATTAGATGTGCCTGAAAGGTCT